AACAGAAGAACTAGACCATCAATGATAACTTTTGGTAAAGGGTTAGCACTCAATAGAGAACTTACTAAATCAATGCACTCAGATGGTGGAACACTTAGGAATACATTTCTGACATCAAGAGAAATCAACATAGCACTGCCTGGAATGTTAAGATAAATGATCCGAAAGTCAGTTGTATTCCTAAGAACTACGTTAAGCCATGAAGCTAGATTATAACAAGGTAAGCCCGTGAAAGACACTTCAGGTCGAATAGGGAATCCCCACTCAGGAACCCCATATAATAAAGGTGTTTTGAGATTCATAAGATATAATCTTTTTAAAAAAATTGAAGTGTGAATAAAGCTTAATCTAAATTATTTTTTATTTTGTTAAAGAAAGAATTAGTGGGGTCCTTATTAATCTGGTGAAAATCATCCACTGCCAAAAAGTCGATAACCTTATATGAGGTATGACTTCCTCTCCATTATAACCAGACAGGATCAATTATCAGTTTTGGTTTAATTTTACTCAACAACGACTTCAAGTGAGCGTCTTTGAAACGAATGTAGCTAAAGTTGTTATGTGAGTTGGAATTAAGCAAACTAATTATTTCAGACCTCAACTTGACCTTCTGGAGAAATTAGAATTCACTAAACCCAAGAAGAGTCCTATGGTAGATTTAGCCGACATTAATTTTTAATAATATAAACTGCACGTCTTCGGTGTAACCCTGTTAGGTGTTTTTTTTTATATTTTTATATTTTTTACTTCTTAGTCGCAACATTTCTTATTTCATTTTCTAGTTCTCGGTAAAATCAAACGAATTCTGTCTCATTCCAATTTGTGTATTTGTGCGTTTGAGTTGACTTCTTTGGATGTGCGTATTCTTAATTTATGTAAGTTAATTTATTATTTCAAAAACTTGCTTTTACGGGTCTGATGACGCTCGAGTGGCCAAAACAAGTCCAACATTTTAGAAATAATCATTTTTGAGACATCGACTTCGTAGTTTAACTGAATCCTTTTAGTTTTGCAAAGTATAAGTATAAAGCAGTGAAATCTTCTACGTTAGTATAATATTCAATATTAAAATTTAAAAAATAAACAATTCGTAAGTGAGGCAGATGGTGAAACCTATTCGAGTGTTAAGATAGAATTTTAATTAGACTATACCTTTTTGACTGTTACTCAGTGCATAAATGAACCTACAACGAATGCAGTCTTTTATGACAAAAATGTTCTTAGTCCAAGTTATTATACCAGTCTTCAGTTTTGTCTGAAGTATAAAAATAATAGATGTTTTAAGCAATTTGTCGAAATTAATTGAATAGAGAAGATACCTACCATAAAAGAAAAACAAACTTTCCGAACTCTGATGCCTACACTGATTATTATCGGAGAACTTCAGTTACACTTTTGCAATAATGCAGTGAACGAAAATATGGAACAAATAATGTTCTCTTGTGCATTTTCTGTTAACCTAGCTTTTACTTTTTGGGATGCACAATCTAAAATTATTTTAAAGGATACACGGTGTACCCGACCCAACTCACAAAACGGCAGAATTTTAAAAAGCCGGCCAAAAACTAAAAATAAATTCTTATCTTAAGCAGTTTAGCATGCTCAATTTTTCATCATTCGTCTTTTGTTAGTGAAGCTTGATATGTTGCGAAATTTTATTCGCTTAAGATCATATTACAAGAAAGTGGTCACTGTTTATTTTTTGAAAAAGAAACTACGCATTTAGGTATGCAACAGTTTAGTTTCTAAGTAGTCACTAGATTGGTCAGTATAAGAACTTAAATTTACTGATACAATTTAGTTTTAAAAATACGTGTGAATGGATGTAAAAAAACATTCCCAGAAAGTATAGTTCCCTCTCACTTCCGATAAAGATGTTTACTTCATTGCAATGTATAAATATTCTACAACAAAAAAAGTTTCCACCCTTTGATCACTGACCGCAAAAAAATTATTTTGAATTGTCTACTACTTTAATAAAAAATCAACACTTTTTTTGTTCACAAATATTGACAAATCAAATCTATCGTCGGGAGGATATACACAAACTAAATTTTAACCAAAATGGCGCTTTTTGAAAAACTGATGGAATGCGACTCGTGTAAATTAGGGGATAAGTTGCTATTTTTCAAAAATTACGTTATAGATATGACTAAGCGCCCAAAAGACCATTAGTTCCAGCGAAAGATCTAAACGCTGTAAAGCTAAGAGTTTGAGGTCAACAGTAAGTATAAAGAACGAATGTATGCTGCTCAGATAAATATCAGGAAGAACTCCAAGACAGTATACTAACTAGAGTTATGTAGTATAGACAGTCATTTAAAACACAATGGAAGTCTGCTTTTTACAAACCTTCTGGATTCCTCTTGCGTCGATTTTTGCTTAGTCCAAATTGCTGACGTTTCGCCAATCATCCTGTTGGCTTCTTCAGAGCTTGACTGAAACCAGCAGCCAACAAAATGATTGGCGAACGTCAGCAATTTCGACTAAGCAAAAAACGACGCCGGAGGAATCCAGAAGTTTTGTAAAAAGCATTACAGTAGCCTGTGGAAGTTTCTTTGAAAAATTAACAATGAAAGTCTGTTGTTCAGCTTACTGATAAAGAAGCATTGTGACCCATTTTTCAAAGGCCATTTCACAATGCACCAGCCGACACAAGCAGATTTCCTTCTTACAAAAAAAGTTCAAGCAAAGACTTTGTTATCCCAACGATCTTGACACAACTGAAATATCAGCTGAAATAAAATTGCAAGCTCTATTGAACATTGACTTGAATATCAAAATGAGGCTGCGATAGAAGTTGGGAACATGACAGCTACCAACAACATTATGAAAATCCGGACAATTCTGATGAAAGCATGTTTTCACCACTTTAGTACCACCCAGTTGATTTGTAAAGATATACACTCAAATTCAAAAAAAATATATTTGGCAGAATCCGAGACCAAGATCTCCCAGATTGTGTCGTCACATCAGAATCCGTTTCGTGAAATAAACGAAAGAGGAAACAACCATTACGTTGAACTTCAAATTAATCAGTTTTCTCCAACAACTGTGATCTCTGACAGGATTAATATGCACGGTAAGGCATGTGCTAAATTTCACAATGATATGCGGGAAAGTATGCATCGTAGCTACTTCGACCAGTTCTACTCAAAAGTGCTATATTTGCGGCGCATCAACAGTTCAACAAGTTTGATGAATTGTTAGATCGACAAGTGGATCCTTCAACTTTAGTTTCCAATAAAAATTAAATTTCGGTTTCACTTAAATGCGCTATATTCACTTTTTTTACTAACAAAAATGTAATTGTAACAATTTAAGAACTATCCTGGTACTAGCTTATCTGTTCATTTAAAATGAAATTTCTGATTTTTATTTTTTTGCTCACAAAAAGCGAGAAGTAGGTGTGGGGTCTTATGGTGCACGTACTAATTTACGCACTTGCCATTAACCACCTGGTTGCGCTGGTGAAGGACCATTGATTGACTGAATACTTCAAAAGTGAACTGAACATTTATTGTTGCTACATGACACTGGTACATATGCCTTACGAATACATACTCATGCTCCTTACGGATACATACGCAAACACATACTGTTTTTCTCGCCACGGGTGGCGTGATACGCACAACTACCGCGCATGCGCATATAGTCGCACCGTTGCGGCAAATTTAAAGTTCGAGTTTTGAGATCGGACAGTAGGTATACATTTGAAAAAGGATAATATCTGATTTTTAAAGAATTAAGTGTTAACATTGTAAATAATAGATAGAGTTATAAAAAAGTGTAAATTATTGTAAAAAATATATAGAAATAAATGTTTTTTTTTTAATTTTTGATTGAAGAATGCAAAAGATAAAATACAAAAATCTCATATAATTCGCACATTGTAATTAACCAACCCTGTCGTTCTTTGACGTTTATAGAAAAACGTATCTTTAACGTACTCGCTGTATATCCGTATGATTTTATTTAAATAAATAAATAAAAAACCCAGTATGTATACAATGAATGTTTCGTCAGGAGAAAAAGTGCATTGTAGATTAAAAAGAGAGGGTGTCCCACGACATGACTGGGATGACCTGGGAGTGTGTTGCTGGGGAACGCTATTTGTTGTGGTTCGGTTGGGTGTTTGGATATTTCCTTTGGATTTTTGTGTTTTTTTTGAGTAACCTCATTTTTTTTAATAATAGTAATTGATTAACATCAATTAATTTTATCGAAGAAAATCGATACTATAAATATGGTTATTAAGCCATTTAATACATTTCGAAATATGCTTGAATCGTTTGTATGTGTAAAGCGCAAGTCAGTGGGGTACTCCTGAAGAATATCTATCTTGCTAGTTGAGTAACCAACAGGCCACATACAATTGTTTGTCTTTATTTATATTGTAAATATACATTCTTCTGTGTTGTTAATTTTAAATGTATTTTATAGTGTGAATATAAAAATAATAAAAACAATAAAATATAATCTTGAAACAATAATAAATATATGGAATTTAATCAAAGCTGTATGATGCTATTCTTTGATTAAACGCCTGAACGCAAACTCATTCACGGGAACATCTGACCCTGGCCCAGCACCATCGGTCTGCGTTCTCGCGGGCGAATTCTCTTCGTTTTACTATCATTTTTATCGCTGTCGATATTAAAACCTCCGCAGAGCACTGTCATTTGGTGCTATATTTGGTGCACACGTTCTATTGTTCATGTTATCAAATAAAATACTGTAATAGAAACTGGCAGGTGACTCACGGTGTATGTCTCTCCCCAGCGGCGGAAAATGAATATTTATCGCACTCCTTTTGTTATTAATTTATAACGGAGACCTCGGTTTGTTTGATTTGCAAAACAACTCGGAGCCATAAATACTTTAAACTTCTCAGATATGTATCTCCGCGTGTCGGGTATGCATGTCGTGCCCGCGCAATTAATTTCAATATAAAATAAGGCTCGATCTGGAGACATGCCCATTGCTTACGGAAAGTTCAACGAGGCAGTGTCATTGATTGAAAACGTGGACGGTTATGGCGGGTTTTTAGAATTCGATAAAAAATGAATGTTGAACGGAAAAAAAAGGAATCCTTTCTTGTTTCAAAATCAGATACAAACACGCAGAGTTGTGTTTTCTTTCGCGTTTTCGGGTATTTTTGCTAAGAATTCCCTCGTTTTTGCGAAAGGTACTGTAGCGTTTTGCCGTACCGCTATTTTATAATTGGTGGATGCGTTAACATTTGCATATCGCGTATATATATTTTTTGTGGGATGATAGTTGATGCTCCTGTTTTAGCGTTTATTAAGACATTATGCGCTTCCAGTACTATTCAATTAAGGATTATATCCTATCGTAAGCATAGCAACTTTAGTGCAGGATCTGCAAAATAATATTAGTCGAGTTTTTGGATTTTTTGTTTTGGAACTTACCTTTCCGAATGGTCCAGTAGAGGCGGGTCTAAGAAAGAATAGTCCTACGCTCGGAAACCGAAGATGTAAGAGGTATCCAAGGTATGTGTTCGGCTTCACCTGCGCATTCCGTTTTTGTACTTTGGATAACGTACTTATTGTACTCATTTATAGTATACCTCATGGTATAAAATATGCCGTAGCTGACATGTGCAATAGATAGTGTGATCGAGAAAATAGGGGATTCGGAAGGTTGTTGCTTTTCTTGAGATGGAGATGCCGGATGATCAAAAGCTGGATTTGAGACGGTCGGTCGGTGCCATTTCGTCCTGGTCTGAGTACCTTTGAGACGTTGACGCCCCGCAATTGGTTTGGGAGGACCCATCTGAATATTTGAATCCTTGAACCAGTCATGAGTAAGTGTACGAAAATGCAATCTGCTTTTACTGCAACCAAACGTTTTTAATTTTTCTTTATTCTGAATAGAATTGGTTCTCGAGGGGGTCGATTGATGCCACGCAAGGGTTACTTTCTGTTAGCCTCTTGCTAGCCAGGATGTATTAATTAATGACGAGTCTTTGACTTCCTTTCCGCTGGTACTTAGACTACATTGGACTACATTGAAAGCAGTCTAAAATGTTGGCGAACGCGTGGATTTCTTTCCTGCAATATCTATGGCAATGCAGACGCCGCCTTTCGCAGTACCTAAATAGCGGGGCAGCCCTTCAGAGTATCTTCGGTGGACGCCCTCCATCTCCCTGCGGAGTCCCAACGTGTTTGGTCATGGCCCGCAGATAAGATTGAGTTCACCCCATCATTTTATATTTGCTATTTTATTACTTACTTTAAACCAACTTGAAGGTAGTTGTCAAATTTAGTTTGTTTTTTTATTTTATTTTATTAAGTACGTCTATTTCCATGTATAATTATTAAATCGACATCTTAATTAGGGGGTACCCAGATAATCGGTCACATATTATATGAAGTTAAGTAAAATTTATGGTGCATCCTCTAATCCATTTTGGGGTGTTGGGGTGTTTGATCGTTTAATTTGTCACTCCTGTTGCTGATTATCTATTAAGATGAGTTTCTTGATTCGATCAGTATTCTTTGCCATCTTTTTTCTAAATAAAAAGTGTTACAATTTTTAATAAGGTGAGAACCGAAAGTAATAAGTTTCTGTCGCATCGAAGACATACCCATAGTGCTACCGCTTGCCTCTCTGGGTAAGTTCTGAAGAAAAAACAAAGGTGCGCAAAACGCCAAAATGCAAATATGCAGGGTGTTTCACCGTTGATGATACCTTAGACGTCTACGGCGAAGGATACATTTCTAAACATTTGGTTAGTTCCATTAACGGCGATGCTCTATCGATGTAAAATATTTTTCAAACTGCGACGTTGCCGCTTCTTCGAAAAAGTAGGATTAACATTGAAATTTTTAATTGGACACCACGTATATTAGGGCATTTTCTGATCCGCCAATACTTTGTTTTTTTTTTTAATGAAAAATACGTTACTATCCTTACTGGTTTTCGAGAAATTTATTATTTTCTTCAATTTTCCGATCCAAACATACCTTCATTTAAATTTTTATTATTACGACACTGGAGCCAGTAGAAAGTTAAAATTATAGACATTGCATTATTTTTTAATATCAAAATAAATTCTGTATCTTAAATAACTCCACTCTTATTTTTTGTACCCTTATATGTAGCACGAGCTGGCCATTTAATGGAGTTTCGTTTTCCAACGGTAGCAATAATCTCAACTTGTTTCTCTTATGAAACTGGTTTTCTGCAGGATCTTTTTTTGTTATTAAGATTGCCACTAGTAAAAGAATTGTTAAGCAATTTTCTGCAATAATGCTGTGCGGTGGGGTTTCAGAATACCTTACCATAAAAATTCTTACCTCATGCGTTGGATTCACTATAACTCACTCAAATACCCGCGCATAAACCATTTTGAAAAACACTAGATCCAATTGATACTAAGCATTTAACTTATTAACAACAACTCTCAACATCTTTGATGTGTCAAAGACAAAATTCCAGGAGTTTACAGCATTCCACACATATGAGACAAAGAGTACATTGGGGAAACAAGATGAAATTATATTCGGCAAAACTACTCTTCTACTAAAAAAAAATTCGAGAATCGATAAAAATATATAAAAAACCACGGCAACTCAAGTTTTTACCTTTTGCCAATATGAAAATCAGCCTTCCGAGACAATATTCATGTGTCTCTTCTAGGCGTAGACTTTTGTTGTGGGTATTAGACTATTAGAAAGCTTTGGTTCAGATAAAATTATAACACATGTTTTAGCGGAACCCTGTTTTAATGACGTGACATTCAAAGAAGGGGATATACCGGCCACATGGCAAGACCGCATTGGTTAATACCCCGTTGCATTCTTATGTAACCTTTCTCGCCGAAATCAGCACTCCACGAGTTCTTCACTATCCAGTATTTTATGCCATTCTCCTCTCCATAACCCACAATCAATATTCCGTGGTCCACGTCTGTGGTGCACTGAGGAGCGTTGAACACTCCCGAAGAATAAAACTGGAAGTAATCCGCGTCCACCGATATCGATACAGGTCCAATCGTGGCCACTACTTGCAACAATTTGTTTTCGTTATTGTAGATGTCTACGTAGCCCTTACCCGATAGAACACTCTTGGATTTGCTGAGGAGAAAATCGATGGGTAACAAAAGAGCAATATAAATGAATATTACCTATATCTGCAGGTACCATCTCTAGCTTCGTACGGATAATCTTCTTCGCTTTCAATGCCGTTGTCCTTTACGTAGTCGAAAGCATAGTCCATTACACCGCCATTGCAGCCTGCATTTCCGTAAGCTCGACCGGCGCAGTCGAGAAGATTTTGTTCGCTAAGAGATACGAGTTTTCCGGTTTTGATGAATTGATGACTTTCTAGAGCTCCGGTCTAAACAAACAGTCCACATGAGTTGAGTTTAGATAATTAAACCCTGGTTTATTTACGGCTGAGAAACTCCAACATCCCCCGCAGGATTCCTGCGATTTTACGTTCGTAACCGCTCCTTTCTCTCGCCAGTCGAAGCTGCTAGGGACTGCAACATCTTCAACCAATATCAGCTTGTTGGGATTTTGCGCTCTCGTTCTATTCATTATATCGGTATTCCATTTCGGAGTTAGGGCAGCGAACTCTTCAGCGGTAAGGTCTGCAAATTGGTTTAACCCCATCTTCCAAGAGACCTCGCCTTTTTCGTAGAGCGCGTTATGTTCTTCGATCTTGTTCAAGTTCTCTTGAAAGATCTGGAAACGGAGCTCGTTCTCCAGCAGACTGTAGGATTTGCCATGCTTGCGCTAAAAGTGTAGTAAGTTTCGCTACATTTCAGATTTTATAGAAATCACCATGAAATTGAATTAAAATTATTATTACTCAAAATGATTGCAAATTAAAAATTATATTATAATAATTATAACCTATGATGTATCCCGGAACAAAACAAATGGTTTGTAACAGCAAAGGCTTTTGCAAATACAAACGCAGTAATATTGCATCTTGATTGACTCCCTGTGTCGTTTCGCATAGAGTGGAAAAGGAGTATCATATAGTATCGTATGTTTACAAAACAACAGTGTAGCGTTGTTGCTTTGGGCGAATGGCTTCAGTGCGTATGATAGAATGTGACCGATCGATTAGGTTCCATGGTGGTGGGGTGACCGCTTAGCGAAGGCACTCTTTCACTTGGGCCGAGGATGAGAAGACGGCATGTTAGTGGATCAAGGCGAGCCGAAATAGTTTTGAAGAAAAACGCCATTATTATCGCGTTATATGCTGTTTGCTCATCTGGTTGGTTATTTCTGGTTATGTTCTGTCGGCCCCGAAAAGGTGTTAAGTTAATATCGTTCTGGTCAATCGTGGATGCCATGTGGCACATTCCCAATGGAAGTTCTGCTATGTTAAAATTTAAATCTTGACTCATCGATCCATTTTCATAATTTGAACTTTGAGCATTCATTTACGTCCTGATTCCCGTATTTTTGTGCATTGAGGATGCGATGCTTGCAAAACCCTTGTATAGGTAAGGGTCTTTGTTTCATGCCGATTGCATGTCAATTATAGTTTCGATTGTTTATATATATATTAACGTAATTTAAGGGTTTCAAGACTGGTTTTTGGTAACGCAACCTACAAGTTCCGGTTCAACTTACTGTCGTTCGAACAGATCCCGTAAACACTGTGACACTAGTATCGTTTGCCAAACGAGCAATTCCCCTGCCAACCAGTTAAGGTTGAATGGAATGTAAATAACAAAAACAAGCAGAGTAAATTGGTTCACCCGGAGTAGGACTTGAGCAAGGTCGTACAAACCTTTTTTTAAATATCGATTAGCCTATAAGTGAAACCTATCGCGATATTTAACCTAAATTTCAACAATACATATTTACAAGCAGAGTATTTAATGTACAGGGTAGCTGATAAGTAACTTATCGCACATTAATTGATAATATTTTCGTTTACAAGTTTTACGTAGCGGGAATCCCTTGACCAAGTGGTTTACAGCTGCATTTTATTTATTTTGTGTGGTAGTTATCGGTATCCTTTAGAGGAGTAAATTTATTGTGTTTTTATATATTATTTGATTTTCATTAACAACTTGCAAATAATCTCTCTAGACGAACTCTGCATTGCATTAATCAACTATCAAATTGTTGTTTTAAAACTAAAACAAACACCTTCATGTACCCATCTCAAGATCAGAGTACAAACTTGAACTTATATCTAAGTTCCATTGAAACAGTTTAATTAAAATAACATCGGAAGGTTATCAGTTGTTTTTCTTTCTACGTAATCCTTATCTCTAACCACCTAGATAATTTATAACACCGTTTAAAATAGAAACTGTTCCAAGTCGCAGGCTTCAATACTAACATAACTAGGTGAAGGCTTGGTGGCGCCCAAATCATTCTACAGAGAGGGTATCGAACCTGACTGTAGTCGAACATCGACACAAAAACTCGGAAAAAAGACTAGCCGTTGTCGTTTCTTTTCTTAAGCCCCGTTTAAGAAAAGCGTACGTTACAAAAGTTTTGTAAATAGTATTACAGTAGCCTGTGAATATTTTCTTGAAAAATTAACAAAGACATAAAACAGAGGACAACAAGCGTAAAAGCAGAAAGTGAGACGATCACCGACTGAAACTGGTAAGAGTATTCTGTATACTGATCTTTTTGTTACATTGAGAGACCATAACATTGTCCCTAATTTTCTTAAAATATCTCATCATGTCAAAACCTCATCCACTTATAAAACTCCTCGTATTATTGCTTCACTTCGAGAAATAATTTACTCGCAAAGAAACAAAACAAATCAATAAGTCTCTTCTGTCTTTATATCTTGGAATTGCTTCATCTTGTCCCCGTCTCGATACCTTTTTTAAAAGTCTACATATATCTTCTACCCAGATTCGTATTCAAAGATTTCAAAAACGAACGTCAAAAGTAGTGAAACCATGAAACTCGTCTCAACTACCACACTGTGATAAATGGTTCATTGCACCAACTTTCTGAAGTGGAAAATTAGTTCTTGCAAAAGGTTCCAACTTCGCCCTTGCTTCATTTATTATCCCAAAAGAGGAAATCATTTCAAATATTAAGTCTATCCTAACGAAATTACCATCCCAAATAGCTAATGAAATTCTATGTAAAACGGCAAAAATCCTTAAAAAATAAATCCTAAATCTAATATTCCAAAGCCTGAACGCATTGCTCTAAAATCTAATCCTGACATCGTAATTCTAAGATCAGATAAAGGAAATGCTACCGTGGTCATGAACCCAAACAAATATTAGGAAAAGATTCAATATATTCTTACAGACGAATCCTATCGTCAAATTAAAAAAGATCCTACGTCTTCTATAGAACGCAACCTAAAATATGTTATTAAGGCTTCTTCACTATCAGAATCCGTGAAAAAGGCTGTCACCCTAAATGACTCTAACAATTAAAAGCCATTACATTAGATCCACACCATATTCTGGTTAGTTTCGACGTAGAAACTCTTTTTACTGAAGCGCCTATTCCTGAAACTGTCAACATTATTTATTATTATTATTATTATTTATATTAAAATCCGAGAATCGAGAACCAAATTTTCTCATCTTAATTGAAAAATTCTTAGATATTCTAATGGATAGTAAATGAAACCGAATAATGGATCATTCTGTTTACAGAAAGCCGATCCCACACAGACAGATCCCTTAATGCGTTGTCACGTAGAAAATATACGTAGATTTTCAGAAAGGGTATCGAACTCAGATGGGAACAAGATGGAAGCAATTCCAAGATATAAAGACAGTGAAGCAATAATACAAGGAGTTATATAAGTGGATGAGGTTTTGACAAGATGAGATATTTTAAGAAAATTAGGGATAATGTTATGATCTGTACAACGTAACAAAAAGATCAGTGTACACAATAATCTTACCAGTTTCAGTCGGTGATCGTCTCACTTTCTGCTTTTGCGCTTGTTGTCCTCTCTCCTCCGAAAGTCATCGATTATCAACTCTCTTGCTTACAGAGCAGTAAAACTATCTTAGACCGAGTCACTGAACCCAGAATTACCTTACCTTAAAATATCAACTATGCTCAGAAGACAACCTCAAGACTGAGACAAATAAACTCATCAGCAGTTGCCGAATACAATCAAGAAACCGGGCATAAAGTTTTATTCGGTAAAACGAAAATTAGTGCATGTAATCAATTCTTCTATCCACGAAAAATCCGAAAATATGTAGAGGTATAACAATAACAATCTTAACAGCGACTCAGATCTTTACCTGTCATTAATATGAAAATCAGTCATAAGAGACAATATTCATGCCCGTTCTTTAGCTTCTCCAATATATAAGCAAGTGCAGAATAGAATGGAGCCAGTTTCAGTCCAGCTCTGAAGAAGCCAACAGGATGATTGGCGAAACGTCAGCAAGTTCGATTGAACAGCAACCGATGCAGGAGGAATCCAGAGGCTTTGTAAAACGTATTACAGTAGCCTCTGGAAGTTTCTTTGAAAAACGAAAAGGATTATTTACGATAATGCTAGTCAAAACAGCACTTTAGCTAAAGAACGATAAAGAAGAAGGATGATCAGCAAAAGGAGGTATCGCAAGAATTCCATAGTCAGCACGACCAATTTCCTTACTACTACCCTGGACCGGTTTGATTTATAATAGCATTGTGACAGTCATCACCACATCGTGTTAAGTTTCTTATGGCACTTTTTTAATAAACTACCTATTAGTACTATATCTATTTGCGAAGGTTTAAGCATTTTTGAACCACTTACGATAACGATAACTTTACCTTAAAGTTTGCAAATAGTTCAACATTTTCTTCTGCCGAAACCGCCAGGACAATGGCCACCAATATAAGTTGGACCTGCATTTTTGTGACTGATTTGTAAAAATTTCAACAAAGTTATTTATATTATTGTGTCGTTGTTGAGCACTTGAAGTTGAATTTTTGATCGAGCACAATGGCAAAAGATAATATTGTGCATTTGTGAAAGACGCCCGAGATGTTATCGCATTTTGATATAGCAAACATATTTCCTCTCGAGATTTTATTTAATTTGAAAAACAAAATTTTATGGTAATGCATTTCGTTTTCCCGCATCCGTTAAAGCTCATTGAAAGTCTACGGAGGAATTTTAATGAAACACTTGTTACTACGAGTACATCTACGTAAGTAGGCTTGGACCGTGCCTTTCAACTAGTAGTAGTTGCCTGAACAATCATTCCATGTCGCAGAAACTTATATCATTATAAATTTTTGGATATTTGGCTTTTTCCTTTTATATCCATATTTTCTATATGGGAAATATCTACCGTTCTTTGAATGTCTTTACTATAGGGGAAGGTTAAATTTTGGTATATAATAACTTTCGATCGTTATGTGTAATTTCAGTAACACAATAATTTGAGGCATACACTATGGCACTTAGTACTTGTATTTTATTCTTCTTCTTTTTCTATCTATCTTGTTTCATTGGGTTGTATAGACTAGACTTACGCTTATTACATTAATTAGTATTAGTGTTAGTTGATGTTCTTGTTACCGTTAGCCTAGTTACCGTTATGTTATGTTGGATCAAAAGTCGCCAGGGTAATAAAAATCATGCACATGTACAGGCTGGGCAGTAAAATTCATTGATGAAGACATCAATAGTGTAATTAGAAGGAAAGTCCGTTGATAACTGGGAAACTTACCCCTTGGTAAAAATTTACAATGAAGCACTTTTACTGGAAAGCGATGAAATTGTTTGCAGACGACTAAATATCAGTATAGTGCGACACACGATAAACTGTTATGATATAAATGTGTCTATCTGCTCGTATGGATTTTTGGAACAATAAATCAATCAGATAAAGGGCAGTAGTGAGAAAATTAAAACACACAACACCTGAATACATTCTGTTGTGTAGTTTGAATGGTTGGTATCATTTTTGATTTTTAAAAGAAACTTCCACAGGCTACTGTAATACTATGACTGATTGTACTGACTGGCTGACTATACTGAGACGAAAAAATCAGTTCTTGTAAAAGGTTCCAACTTCGTCCTTGCCCTACGCCTCAAAATAGAAGATTATTTCAAATATTGAATCCATCCTAAACAAACGGCCATCTAAAACAAATAATTAAATTCGTTTTGAAACGGCAAAAATCATTAAAAAATCCAAAGCTCCCAAATATAATACTTCAAAGCCTGATCGCTTTGTTATAAAATCTGTAAAATCCAATCACCACATCGTAATGCTAAAAGCAGATGGTCTTGAATACAAGTGAACATTAGGTATTTTTACAAGCGGGTCCTATCGTCAACTTAAAAAAGATCCTACGTCATCTATGGCACGCAACTTTAATTCTTTTATTAATTCTTCTTCCCTATCAGAATACGTGAAAAAGTGTCACCCTTCATGACTTTAAAATTCTTTGTCTCTGCGGTCTTCCTGAGATTCACAAACCATGATTACCCCTTTCACGTATTGTCAGCACCAAGATATTCTCTAGCAAAAGATCTAGATGACGTATTAAAACCCTTTATAGGGAAACATACTTAATTCCGATCAAAGTTATGAACAAATGTCGGAAACATCTATGGGGTCTCAATTATTACCAGTCATTTCCTTTGAGAAGAAAGCCCTCGACACGTTCCGTCCAAAACCAATATCATGGAAACCCTACGTTGATGATACTGTTGTTATTTGGCTTCATGGTAGAATTCTTTCGAGGTTTTCTTATCCATTTAAACTCTATGCACCCTCATTTACATTTTACATTTTACCAATAGCAAATTAGACCTAACATTGGGTCATTCTGTTTCCAGAAAACCTACGTCCACAGACCCATACCTTAATATCTTGTCACATCACTATGTTAACTAGAGTCACTAGACCGGGAATTAAAACATCTTACATCTGCTCTTCTCTCTGATCATTTCCACATTAAGCGTTCTCCGAAAGCAATCCCACGCTTGCCAATGTTGTCCTTCCTTACATTCAAGCCATTAAGCCAAAAGGGGATTTACCACTTATCCAAAAATCTCTGAGATATTCTTATCCATAAAAAATCAGGCCTAACATTGGGTCATTTTGTTTATAGAAAACCTACGCACACAGACCGATACCTGAATGCATTTTCACATCGCCATCCGGCCCAAAAATTATCGGCCATCAACTCTCTTATCTACAGTGCGTAAAAATATCTCAACCCAAGTCACTGATCCCAGAAATAAGACATGGTCCATCAGCAAATACCTTCACTACAGTCTTCCAAAAACAACGAGTCCGAAAATAACCCTACACTTGCCACTGTTGTCCTCCTTTACACTTAAAACATTAGTTACCAGTTATCAAAAGAAACAGATTTACCACTTCCTCGACATTTTCATTCCGCCAAAGACAAAATGCTGTTTGGGATACCAGGAATTTCCATGCGTATGCTGCAAAGAACAAGACCGGACGAAAAATATCAACAAAGCTCAAAGAACATGACAGAGTTTTTAGACTAAGACAGATTAACTCATCAGCAGTTCCTGAACAGAATTATGAAGCCGGACATGAGATCTTATTCGATAAAACTAAAATTTTTGCATGCAATTCTTCGCGCAACGAAAAAACGACGACGAGTCACGAAATTATTTGGCACTAGCGGAGCGCAGCAGAGCGAGTGTTTAATAAATGAGTGACTTCAGAAGTTTACCAAACGTGTTGCAGACTTTTTCTACGATTGTTAGTTGTTGGGTACATTTTTGCAAAACAACATGAATACATTCACAGACGTGACAGTCAGAATTGATAAACGTCAAATCCGTGCGGCAATATCCCGGAAATGTCCGAAGGGGTTCAGATCCTTTGCACAAGAAACTCACATTGTAAAGTGATACCTTACGCATGCTAGATCGGTGTATAATTACCTATTTCACAGAAGGGGGTAGAAAAATAGTATTTGTTATTACTACCATCGAGGGATAGAATTGATGATTTTAAGTTGTCCCAAGTTTTTTAATAGTTTTTTTTCACTTCAAGTATATGATTAACCCATTCTCTAAAGCCGTTCTTTGTTATTGACACTGGGTCATATAATGAAAAATCCTCTCAAATATAGTCTGTCGCAACTATTCTTGCAGGACAAAGTGGATAGAAGAAGAGGACGAGGCAGAAGGAGAAATGGTTACTCACACATACATCACATATTCGCAAAACGATTTTCTTACATTTCTTCTTCTTATATTCATATGACACTTTCCTTTTCATTGGCATCTCTCCTCTGACTGTGACACTATTTAATTTTTCTGTGAATTGAAAATTTGGCAGTTATTTTCACCAAAATTGCTAATAACTTTCTGTTGCTTTATCAACACCTCCAACAAAGTTCCCTCTTCTGTTCATTTTTCAATCTTAACAGAGCCTTGTTGGCTATTAGCCAATAGCCAACTAACATTATAGCAATAGTATTAAAAAGAAAGAATTGCAAATATTGGAAAAGTTAAAATAAATTACAAAATAAAAATTGCTTAATAAAAGTGGTGTGCCATTTAAGAAACTCGGGATTTCCTCAATTTAAAAATTCAAAATCCAGTTTTATTTGGTTTGAACTCGTGTGCTGGATTACACCGAAGTGAGCAGATAAACAAATTTTTCTTGATGGGACTTGGATTAATGAAGACTAATCAGTCACAAAAATGTGGCAAGAGGAAGAAATATTCAGTGCTGGCCAAGCTTTCACCGAAGGCGTGTGTTACGGGCGTCAGGCTTTAAAAATCCTCCAGATTCGAGACTTAGGAACTAATTTTGGTTGATGAACCAAACTACAGTCAATTGTAGCAGCAACAGCTGCGATCAGGCTTGCAGTGACAGTAAATTGAAAACTTCGACAGTATATTAGGAACAGCGTTTGTGTTATAGAGAGGATTTAAGTTCAGAAATTTTAAATGACTGTTGTCTCAATTGAGTATTCCTAAACTGAACGACGGAAATCCTAATTAGTTTGATGTGGCTATATTTGACGTGATCATTTTGTGAGTAAACACAAGTAGATGATTGCGATTCTCCATATTCTCCATATTCATCAAATCATCAAATCAATCAAAAACCATTTTGGCAAGATATAGACGCCATTTTACACTCTTTGGATACGTGATTTTTATAGAACGGTATACACGGCGTCTCAGATCTACAGATTCGCATATCATGTTTTCAATACTTTTTATTCAAAAAAGCTCTGGGTTATAAGCTGCACACGGTCAGTCAACGATAGAGTAAAGTTCATTATCTTGTTGGTTTCAAAAGTTATAAAAAATGATTTAAAATTCTAAAATATACATTTTTTTTTAAATTAGAACATTCTATTTTTAAATTCTGTTTTCAATTATTCAAACGTAATCTTTTTTCCAATATTTTAATTTTACAATTACACCATTATTTTTAAATGTATATCGCTAGTCTTTGAGATTAATGTTATTCGAAGATGACGTAAAAGAGATATGCAACGGAATTTGCATTCGATGCTTGCAATATATTTGGATAATTTTAAGTTGAAAAATCTCAATTTTCGCAAATGACACATTATAAATGTTATTATTTTTTCTCAAAGATCTTACAAAAATCTGCAACTTTTATTAAGTATGTAATATACCTATTTCTAATATTTTACGATTTATTTTAGCTTTTAAAATATTTACTTATGTTCTTTTCTATCTAATACTACTGCTATGAGTAAATAAATTCATAAAATTTATTGCGGTGTCAGCATTGGATAAGGTGGAAAAAAATTCTTGGTGTTCAGTAAGACTTCATAAGGCGAAGTACCCTAATAGACTTATACCAACTAGACAATCTATTCAGTATCTAATGGAACAGTTTGTTGTTAGTGTATTATTAAATATGACAAACGGAAAGTGGTACACCGAAATGCCACCAATGAGGAAAT